TCCTCTTACAAAATGTGACAATATCGCCCGAGATGATTAGAATAAAAAAAAAATATTACATATTCATTAAAAAAAAAATACATGCAATTTTATTATACCCAAATAGGATTTTCTTTGTGAATGAAACGTTTCTGTTACTTTAAATTTAATTAAATTAGTTATTATTAAAAGTATCTTTCAGAAAGATATTAGTGCTAGAGAGGTTTGTCGCAGAAAGCCAAAACAAATTCTGCCACAGGGATTTAAATAGTGTTGAATAATTATATGTTAAGCCTTTATTTAAAGTAATTTTGTATTTTTATAGAAATGGAAACTTAGTTACGAAGTAATTAGATTTTGTTTTTGATCCTCTTTAATTATTATTATTTGTTAATGAACCATAAACAGAGCTTTTAATTGAAAATATGTTAACTCATAGTAAATGGTAATGGTTATAAATAGTAACCCAAGGAGTTTTTTTCAAACATTGAAGCAATATTATAACTGATATAAAATTTTTACATGAAATTTTATTCAATTTTCTTTTAGTTCGGTTCAAAAGTTGTCTATCTCTTTCTTTCAGGGAAATTTCGGTCTACATTTTAGGAGGAAAAAAAAAAAGATTTATTTCTTGCGTTTCTCAGGATTGGTCCGATAAGTTTTTTAAAATGGTTTTCCCGATAATGTTGAGTAGAACTTTTTTTTCCCCGTTATTTCTGTTAATAGGAATATTTTAATTTAGCAATACAGAACTTTTTTGTGTGCAAAAAATTCAACTTCGCTTGATAAAATTTCTACATCCTAGTGAATAATATTTTAAAATAATTGTTTTATTTACTCGTTTCTAAGAAATATGCAGCCAGGCATTTAAAGGGTTCCAGAAATGTATTTAATATAATGTGCATTAACTGTTAGGCGATCCTAGATATTTTAAGATCTAATTTATGATGAATTCTAATAACTATGACTGATTATTAATTCATTAAATAACCTTGTTACCGAAGTGTTACCCTTCTCCTATATATTTTGCTTCGGGAATTACTGAATTTTCGATTTAGTTTTGTTTCAGGGCTTTCTCGGGGCGGGATGTGTAATATAATTGAAGTCTGATTCCAGCAGAGTTTAGAAATTTCATTTGGGTTGTGGTTGAAAGATAACGATTATAATTTTTTTTATCAAGTTTTTTTTCAATATGCTTATGCAAGTACTTGGTTTATTATTGAATATCTTGGTAGTAGTAATTAATTAGTTAGAAAATTTTTTGCTTTAACATGTTTAAATTAGAGGAATAAATAATCTAAATGTTTACTTACTGCACTAGTATAAGGTAAGAGTTGCCCAGATGAAGAGTGGATTTGTGCGGTACATTCAAGTTTCTAATTATAGATGCCTCTAAAACAAAGTAGTGCACCTGTAATGGAATTTTTGTGGTAAAATTCAAGCATACAAAGATATTTGTTATCAAATATTTGCTGCTTCATGCCTTACACTGTTTAGGAGATAGATTTTAAGAAGTCCAGCAGTGGACTGATCGTTAAGACACGGTTCCCAGCAGATCACCGAAGTAAAGCATCACTGAGTGCGGTCAGTGTGCGGGTGGGTGACCACTTGGATCGGCCTGCGTAGGGACCGAGGGTGTGCGGTATTGGTCTTCTTAAACTGTTTTACCGTAAAGTGCTCGACTTCGCGTGCTGGTCGTCGGGCTACCGAAGCGGGAGTGCCATCCCCTCAGCAGAGGATCAAAATTGTGATGGCATGTCTTCGGATTATTCTCAGGGATGTTTTCCAGACCGTCGCCAATAATGTGCAGCTCTATTGCGACGTAAATGAACTACAACAACAACAGATTTTAGGAAAGTTTCTCTGATAGGCAGACGCGTGATGAATAACGTGATATAGTGATAAATAATGCAATCACTTTATTTAAAATCGTACTACATCGCGTTAACCTTGGCGAATCCTTTTACCTCTACTTTAAATACTCGCATGAGAAATATTTATTCAATTATACATTATCTGCAGTGCACTCTTCCTTATAAATTAATATAATCGTGAATGATGGCCTTACTATCGCTATTGTATTTTTGATGCTACCACATGTTTCCGCTTTTCATTTAACTTGGGCAACCTTTATGTAAAGGAGTAAATGTTTTTCAAATATTTAAATGGAAGACTAAGTCATATTTATGTATGTTATTTTACTAAGATCATAATGAGTAAATAAGGTACAATGGGGGGAATGGAACACCCTGAATAACTTGTTATCTAATGAGTAAAGCTTTACGTTCAAGGACTCAATCTTAGTGGCAGGGTTCGTGATTTTTTTGATTTAAATCTTTTTTTTAAAATTTAAATCAGATTTTTTTTTATTCAAATAAACTGTAAGAAATTTAATTGATGATTAAAAATACTTTATAAATGTTTAGTCAAAATTAAATTAAAATTAAAACTATATTATAACAATATTTTAGGAGCTCTAACTTACTAAAATAATTTTTCGTTATAATACATAGCTTTGCAAGGGCAACCGTTCTGGAACAAATGCATGATTGAAATTTAAAGACTAGATGAAATAGAGAATTTAAAGAGTACTTCAGGGGTCTGTTTAGGTTTTTCTGAGAGGCACCTATTTTGTGAAAATTTAGACATAATTTGTGAACATAAAAAATTATATTAAAAAATCAATTTCATTAAAAAATCAGCACTAAAATATTTTAAAAATATGAATTTATCGTTTCTTACGAGACACAAAAATAAAATTTTAGGAAAAAATATTTTGTGAATTTGTTCTACAGTTTTTCCTAAAGTTGAATTTGTGAAGCTACCGCTAAACGGTAGTAAATTTTCCTTGGACAGATCCCTGTACTTTAACTATTAAAGCAAAGTTTCAATTAGCAAACCGTAATTTCAGTTTAAAATTGTGATTTCTTTTTTTTCCTCTTGATTTTTAAAATGACAAAATAAATGTAACAGATAGTGTTTATAAATGTAGTCGTTCATCAAAAAATAAATAAATATTTAATCTATATATTTTTATATTAAAATATTCATTTTTAATCCTACATCAATAAAATATAATGTAAATTTTAATTCCATGCTTTTTCAATGAAAAGGTAGAATTTTAATTAACATAATTTGAATTTTTTTTTTTTTTTTTTTTTTTTTTTAATTTTTTTTTTTTTTTTNTTTTTTTTTTTTTTTTTTTGAAAAAAAAAATCATGTTTATTAATTACTTTCTACCGCTATGCAAGTCTATTTCAAGACAACACTAAATGTTTACTTTAATCTGTACTTTCAATTTCAAGTGTCAATAGATTTTTAAAAATGTAATTTCAAATGTGTTGGAATTGAGCACACATCAAGAAAGAAAGTAATTTCGTTAACTAAAATTAATTAGTGTAGTAATTTATTTAAAATAAATTTTAAATCTAAGAAAAGAAAATAATAAAAGTATCAATAATTGAAACACTGTTTTTTAACTTTTAAAATCAATATATATATATATTAAAAAAATTAGTTGATTTAAATCAATGATTTTTTTAAAAAAATCATTTAATTTAAATCGACAAACCCTGCTTAGTGGTACAGGGGATTAACCTTAAACATGCTAATTCTTTTTTGCAGTTGATATTTATGTTATGAAATCAGATATAGAAACGTATTTTCTCCGAATAAACATATTTTTTTCCCGAGGGATTCGGGTTGTTGATTTTCAAAATATGGGGGACAAATATGGCCCCAGTAGTTTGGTAATGGAAGCTATTAAAACTTTAAACTCTTTAATGTTAATTTCACCTTTTTTCTTAATTTTGCTAAATCTTGAGAACTTTATAAGCTTATCAAAAATTTTTGAGCCCAAATAAAGTTTATTTTTATTTATTCAAAGATAATTCTACCAAAAAATAACTATTATATTATTTTCTGTTATTTAATAACTACAGTAAAAATAAATTGATTTGGATTTGTAATGTTTGAAATTTTTACATGATTTTGATGTAAGTACTTTTCTATGACAATGTACAAAATTTGAACGAAACGGGTCGAATAGTTTTCAAGTTATCAAATTTTGAAAATTTGCGCTTTTATAATGTAATTTCCAAGAACTATTTGACCAATTTCGTTCAAGTTTTATATTTTGCCATTGAATTTTATATTTTGCAAAATATTAAATTTTATATTTTGTAAAAATTTGTATACTTAACATTTCGAAATTTTATCGTCTATTTTTAAATAGAATAATAAGTTTTCAATCATTATAAAAAAAAAAATTTGGCATGGAAATTATCTTTTGATAACCAAACATAATTGTGTGAAATTTTTTTTGGTTAACTTAAAAAGTTCCTGAAATATTGTGAAATGTGCAAAAATAAAAATAACATAGAGGTCCAAACTTTCAACTGCTCTCCTGACCAAATTTTTGGACTGTGTTTTCCAGATTGCAATTACCCTCATATTTCGAGGGTCGTAAATCCAAATCTATCGAAAGTGAGACAAGTTTACTGCGAAAATGGTCATTTTTATGCCAGATTTTGTAACTTAAAATATTGTTTGAAAAAATTAAAATATGCCTCCAAAATTATACCAACTTTTCTGAGGTCTAAAAAAAATCTTTTTATGTTACTTGAGTACTTTTTCGTGCTATACTTGAGGACAAAAATCACAATTTAAATTTATAAAGACAAATTAAGAATAATATTCTTCCTGTACTAGCAGTTTTTTCAGAACATTTTATAAAATTATCCTTGATAGTATTGGATCACCAGTAGTCTTTTTTTTTCTGTGTAATTTTTTTATTATTATTTATTCTGCGTTTCATGATTTATAACACAGTAGATTTTGTATTAAATATTCTAAATATTCAGTTTAAATAAGAAATTATATTTAAAATTAAGATGTATGCAATCTTAGCTTTATGTAACTTGAATTTATGTAACTTGAATCTTGTGAACAAATTCTCAAAGCATTTATTCAACTGATTTCTCTTCATATGCCTGTTATAACTTTTTTGTTTCCTTTCATAGGGTGGTGTTAAGGTTCTTGTTACAGGACCTTGGTACTCATCCTCCTCTCCTTATACCATCCTATTCGATGGCGTCAGTGTGCCAACTACATTAGTACAAAGTGGAGTTCTTAGGTGTTATAGCCCAGGTATTCATATCTTTGATTTATATTTTGTATCTGGTTATTAGTTTTTTTTCCAGCTTGCTGTAAGTACTAAATTTTTTCTTCTGCTACATACTGTATCAATTGAAACATAACATTGAAATACAGTTTGAAACAATTAAATGTGCTAGCCAATTGTGAATGTCAATGTTTCGTGTTCACTTATCATTCATAAGAGAAAAATAAAACAGAATATTATGAGAAATTAACCTGTACATAAAGTTTACAGTTGAAGTTTAATAATTAAGCAGGCTTTATTATTAAACATATATAAGTGANACACAGCATTGAAATATTTTATAGGACTTCATTGTTGAAATATATTGTATATCAAGCATAATTCTATTTTTCCTGAAACGTAAAGCATTCAAAATTAACCCTTTTGAAAGTTGGGGGAAAGTGATGCACTTTTATTGACAATGATATAAACATCTAAGAGCATGAGAAATTTTTTCTTATGTTACGCGGCTTTTAACCATCCATTTTGAAACAGTGCTAACATAAAACATCTCTTCAGTAAGGACGCAGGTACGATGACCAAAAATTTTGGCTCAATTTCTTTCTTTCCAGCAATATTGTGATATTTTGCATTTGTAATTTTATATTAATCAAGAGTATGTCCAATGAAATTTGACTTTTATTCTAAAATTATGAATTAAAGACTGCTCTTAAATATAATGATTTCTTCTATTTTATTATCATTTGACTAGCGTAATTAACGCCATAGACAAATTGTCCTCTAACAATGTGTTTCAAAATGGCTTTTGCTATTGTCATTAAAATGGTGATTAGCATTTATACTGTGTCTATACATTATTTAATGCATACTGCAGTACGAATTATTTTATGTACTCTGGAGCACAGTATTATTTAATGCATACTGCATACATGAATATACTGAAAATCTACTGTTACTACGAGGTATTCAAAACTTTATATATATATACCCACTTTATCCTTATATATATATATATATATATTGGGAGTACAAATTAGTGTTCAGTCCGTTTTTTGTGTGGTCAAAAATGCATTTATTTTTGAACAAAGCAATAATGCATTTATTTTGCATTTATTTTGAATGCATTTTCGCGTTCTGAACAGATTAGGCAATTTTCGATTTCCATATCGATAAAATGTCTCCTCTTTCGAGGCCATCCACGTTAGGGGCCAATTCTTGTTTTCTGCGAAAGCAGTTTACCAGTAACTTGCCAAATCGTGCTGCATCCGACGGAAAGACCAGTAATCAGAAGATGCAATGTCCAGTGAATACGCCGGGTGCTGTAAAATGTCCCACTTGAGCTATTCCAAATATTTTTTACTACTTTTGTGACATGAGGCTGACCGTTATCATGCAGAAGAATCACATGTTTTTGCTCATATTCCGGCCATTTTTACCGTAATTCATGGCTCAAACGAATCAATTGCAGCCTATGCCTTTCTCCCGTAATGAAATCGCTAGGTTGTAGCAGCTCATTGTATACAACACCATTCACCATTCTTGAAATGTCGAAACCAGCTGTCACTATGAAACATTCAAAACAACCAGAGCCAATTTTTATATATTATATATATATATATATATAAAAGTTTAAGGCATCGATTAATATCTTCTGTTAGCACATTATGCTGAAAATTAATAAAAACTTGAGGAAATCATTCCTTTTTGAAAATTGTTGATTTGAACTTTTGAAATGGACGCACTTTAATTTTTTATTCTCATTTGATGGTTTGAATATATTCTAAGTAAATTAAATTCTGATTAATAATTTTACTTTTTACATTCACATAATGTTTCAGAAAAAAAAAACATAAATTTGCCAATTTTTCTTAATTTTCAATTAGTATCTATTCGTTTATTATGTTAGATCAGAATCAACAATATCGTCTGTACGTTTTAAATTCAGTCACTTAAGACCATTGTCCAGAAGACTTGGCAAATCCCAATTATGTTTCTTTGTTCCATTCCAGATGGTTAACTTTTGTCAACCAAGTGTTTAGATTGTATATAAGAATTATCCTAGAAGCAAGACAAGCCGTTCCAAAAAAAATATTCCCTCTTAAGTGGGCACCTTGTATATTCTTAATAAGTTTAAAGAGATAAATGTTGGCATAGTAAAACAAGGTTTTATTTGCTGAGAAAAATTTGTGTAGGGGAACAATGTCTGTAATGTATTAACAGAATGTGAATTAAATCAAGAAATGTCTCAGATTTATAGAATTGTTATATCTATTTTCTTTTAAATTTATGTTTAGTTTTTAATTATTTTGCTTAATAACTTCAAGGAACCTTACAAGAAGTGAAATATGGAGTAAATATTTTGTTTTATAAACAAAGAAACTACAAAGGTTTCTTCCATATTGCATGTGAAAGACAATTTTTTTTAGATACACATTCTTAATACTTGTATTCATTTCTTTTATGAAAAAACTTTTTTAATAATTCTTAGGTATTGTCAATATATAAATTCACAGAGAGCATTAAACTGAAACTATTTTATGCAGAAAAATGATGATGGGCATGAAATGTAGTTATTCTTATTTATTTATTTTTTGAAAATATGGGATTTGTGATTTTTACATCACTAGGTATCAGTAATTTTCACTCAAGCACTGATAAAAGAATAATAAACAAGCCTTCTGCCAGTCTATTCATTCTGTGTCTGAAAGCGACAATAGTAAGGATACAGTTAAGAAGAGAAGAGTTGTGACGAATTAATTACATTTTGTAACTATGAAGCTAGATTCAATAAATAGCGATATTTAGAAAAGTCAACAAAGCTAATTAAGGCAATCAAATCATCTTTAATTTAAAAAAAGAAGCACTCAAATCAAACGCACTCAAATCTCAGAAGTTAATTTTTTGCGGGGTCATCTAGTTTCACATAAATGTCATCTAGTTTCGCATATGACCGCATACCTAAATGTCTATGGAAGAAGTTTTTGTGAATATTAAATGAAAATACTGAGGTACCATCTTTTAGTATAGATTTTTTCCCATAAGACTTACACATCTTTAAGCTTAAAAATACCACTTCTGGGTTTTAAACAAAAAGTTTGTGGGTGCTGTTTTCCAGTGGCGATTGTCCCCCAATTTTTAGTTTTCAGAATATCCCCATGGTTTTTTGTGACAGTCGATCTACCTAAAGTGAGGTCTACCTCTTCCTCTAGCTTCTATAGGCTTTTCTAGAAATAGTTTTCAGGCTTTTTAACGATTTTATGTAATTCTAAATTAGTTTGCCTTTGCCATAAGCTGTCCCCGTGAGTTCTACCACAAATACTTTTCTTTTACACATATTATGAAACAGCTTATAATATATTATGCATATAATAACCTTGCATCAAATGCATCTAATAAAGCATATCTTATAAGTGCTTCATTTAAAAGAAATTTAATTTTTAATTTAATAATATTTATATTTTTATAATTATAATTTAATTTTATAAAGTGGAACTTCATATATTTGGCTGTAACTAATAAAATCAACTATTGTACAATTTTTGAAAATTCAGTTCCTCTTATTTAGTTTGATTGCAATTTTATTAAGATTAAATTACAATAATTAAAATATTTCTTTTTAAAAATAAATTAACCATTTTTTTAGTAGTTAAAATTTTAATAAATTTGTGTAATGAGAAGTAATTTATCTTTTTGTTCTTTTCTTTTTCAGCTCATGAAACAGGTTTAGTCAGTCTGCAAGTTGCTTGTGAAGGATTCGTCATATCTAATTCTGTATTTTTTGAATACAGGCAAAGGCAGTCTGCTACAAATGTTAAATCAGAAGATTGGTTTTCTGTAGAAGGTACCTTTGATTCTTCTTAAAATTTTATAAAAAAAATATTTTTTTAGCACTTTTTTTAGATTTATTTGCTCTTTTTTAAATCAGGGTTTGAGTTTTCCCGCTCTTTGGCAGAATTAAGCTTTCTTAAGTTTAATAAAAAGAAAAATTCCTCCTATGAAAACCTTACATTTTTACATATTTCTATCCTACGTGAATGTGATTTAAAACCTCCCATTGCGATTCGTATTCACACGATTTAAAGTTACACACCATGATTTGTATTCATGCCATTTGAAATTGCTCATTGTGATTGTATTCACCTGATTTAAAAATCTCGCATCACGATTCCTATTAACAGGATTTAAAAATCACACATCGATATTCATATTCGAGTGATTAAATATTACATATTGTGATTTGTATTCATTTGATTTAAAAATGAAACATCCAGGCTCATATTCACACTGTTTAAAAAAAATTGTGCAGGTTGTGCACCCCTAACTTAGATTATATTCTAAGAATACATGCTTCATACATAAAAAATTTTTTTGGTTTAAATTTCAGATGTTTTTTTTTTAAATTTAAAATGGTTTTTGCACATAACATTAACATTTTCAGATTTCTGTTTTCAGGTTTTTTTTTATTCCTAACTCACCTTTGTTAATTAAAAATTTACGATGAAATGTGTATGCTTACCTAAATGTATTTTGTTAGCATTCAAATTGTATATTATAAATCAATCAATCACATGTGAAAACGTGATAATGTATAAAATGGTAGTTTGTTAGTATATTGTTTATCACGTTATTTAATTTAAAGGAATCCCAAACTTTTAGGACTATTTTTTAAAATTATGAAATTTATTTTAAGAAATGTGATTTAAAAGTATACAACTTTTCTACATCTATTATATAATGTAAACTTCAATTATAGTTTTTAATACTAATTTATAAATACTAAATACTAAAATAAATTTTTGTATTGATTTTATAGACAGTACATTGAAGCTTTCTCTCCTGGAAAGGTTAGAGATAATGGAAACTAAACTAACCTTCAGTTTAGATGGTGCTTCAGCTGGATTAACAACTAATAGTGTTGTGCAGGTAATGCAATTAGAAAAAGATTAATTGTTTTTAATAATTTAAACTCATATAAATAAGTATTAATAACTGTGACTTGAAACATTATGCTTCAGAGGATAGAGCATCCGCCTTCCAATGAGGTGAACCGGTTTTGAATCCCAGCAATGGCTGGTCAATACAAATTCCGTACCCAGCTTGCATGGACCACAGTACTGACATAATATCCTCAGTGGTAAACGGATCATGGGTTAGAATTCCCTAGCCATCAGGCTAACTGTGGGAGGTTTTCATGGTTTTCCTCTCTATATAACGTGAATGCAAGTTAGTCCCATCGAAAAGTCCTACACAGAGACAAATTTTCCCCAATACTTATTCTAAGAGTTTCCTTGTCCTCTGGATGGGTTCAAAATGACAAGGATACAGAGTTGAGCATTAGTAAGTATAAACCCAAGGTAGGGTCGACTGTTCAACGACTGTTACAAAATAAAATAACATGAAAATGCTTTTATCAAGAATGATATATGTTAAAGAATCAAATCTTATACTTATTTCATAAATCTTAAACTTTATTTAATTTTTTAGATCATCTTACAGTTTTATTCCCTTTTTGCATTTGAACATTATGTAAGTTTGAAATTAAATTTAAACATGCATAAAAATTCGGTCGACTGTTCAATGACAGGTATACAAAGGCCTTATAAACTCTGTCTTTAACTGTGCAAATAAATCAAAGTAAAGCACAAATATCATTGAAGTTTTAAAAAAGAGGGTAATTTGCAAAAACAATCTTCAGATATAGTTTAATTGCTTTCAATTGTAAATAATATCAAAATGTATATCATAAATTGCATTCCCTTTAATGTGCCTGAATTTAATTTCTTTTTTCCAGAATGCCAATGATGAACAAAAGTCATTTGAAGATAGGTTAGTTTCTCTTTGCCAAAAATTCATGACCGGTAATTGGACTCGCCCGGACGATGTTTCGCCAATGCTTACAACAACTTGCTCTGATCTCACTCTGCTTCATTTGGCTGCAGCTCTAGGGTTTTCTCGCCTTGCTTGCACTTTACTGCATTGGAGGAATGACAACTCATCTCTTATGCTCGAAAGAGAAGTAGATGCTATGAGTCAGGATAAGAGGGGAAACACTCCTCTGGTAATTAATCTTTCTTTCACTTTTCTTTAAAAGCTGCTTTCTTAATTTCTTACTTACTAAAAAGTGCAACTTGTGCTTCATCTTTCCAATATAATTAAGCCTTCAGTAGCTCCTCTTGACACTATACCATTCCTGATCTGCTTTAATTGTAAATGGCACAGTTTTTCAATTAAAAATGTCACAAGGCTTATGAGAAATACTGTTTTGATTATTATAGATATGAAAGTAGAGGTAAGTAATTTTGGCAGTGGTATACAAAAGTAGTAAAATATGTGAGGCGACATTTTGAAAAATAAAATAAAAATTGCCTTAGAAAGTTCAGTTTTTCTGTATTTTGTAAAAACAACTCTTAGTTATACAAAAACTTTTTTATTCCCTTTAGTTAAATTAAAAGAATAATAAAATCAAGACACCTTCATAATATTTTTTTTCAATCAAAGTTGTTTTATTATTATTTATTTATTTACTGATTATTTTTTGTTTTTAAAACAAGGTTTGATAGTTTAAAATAAGTTATAGTTTTTTTTCCATCAATAACTTACTGCTATGTTTAAAATTTATTTTGTTTTCAATGTGTCCTTAAATATTTTCATTTCTATTTAGTAAATAGTTTGTATTAAGATTTAAAATTTTGCACAGTTGTAAAATCTGTCATACTTATGACAAAAATTTCAGTTGATATGATTTAGAATCTGTTTTACTACCTACACCGGTTTTAAAAACTACCATTGATATTATATTATGAATAGTCTTATATTTACATAGTTCTTAAACTTGGTTGTGATGAGCTGAAATGAGTGTTGCGCCCAAAAATGTTAACTCTGTGATATTAAAGATAATTTTTCAAATTTTCTTTTCAGATGTGGGCCTGTGCACTTGGCTTCAGTGACGTTGCTCTGCTTTTATATCAATGGAACAGGGCTGCCATCAAAGTTACTAACAACCGAGGAGTGACCCCTTTAACTGTTGCATCGGAAAGAGGCCACGAATCCCTGGTTGATCAGATTGAAAAACTAGAGTGGTTCAAGATAACAGTACGAAGGTATTTGCACAACCCTCATTAATAACTGATGATAATATTTTTGAATGAATATTTTCCCAGAAATTATTGTATATAATTGACACAATTAACTAATGAATTTTGTTTTCATATTATATAATTTTAAAAGCTTTGAAATTTAAATTAGTTTTGATCTCTGCATAGTAATAAAAAGTTAAGTACCTCTTTTGGGTCCGAATCAGCACACATGTTCCACATCTTCATTATGTGCAACAAAAAATGGAAACAAATCTGGAATAGATCACAAAAGTGCAAGGAAGATGGATATTTGTGCGCGAATCGTAGTGAATGATTTATAGTATCTTAATATTTTGGGTGGTCGGTAATCTGCATAATCTTATTGGTTGCCACTTTTAATTAGTGTTGAACTAAACGTTGTAGCAAAACTTATTCTTTATGGTATCTTTTCAGTATGTTAAAAGTTTTCAGGCACTCAAACACACATCTTTTGACTTTTGGTAACAACCAATCTGCACCACTTTCTTGGAATCTTAGCTGTTTGCCTTTTTTTCATGTGCATCGATTTGCTCTTGCTCTTGCTCTGGACACCATTTTAACTCGCATTGCTTTTTCACTTAGCTTCCATTAACGAAGCTTTTTTAATTTCCCCATGTATTAATGAAGGGCTTATTTTTAATCTTAATTCTAATTCGAATCAAAGCTATCTTCATTGCTTCCAACTTATATGACCATTGAAAAATATTTTTCTTTGTGGTAGTAACATTTATCTGGTGTGAGATTGTTTTAATTTTTGGTGGAATTTCAATTTTTCTAAACTTTAAAAGAATTCTTAATATTTCTACATTATTTTATTGTTTCATTTTACTATAATTTTATTCTCTGTATCATGATTTATTTATAAAACTTAAGTTTATTAGATTATATATGATAAAAAAACAACTTTAAATAAGTAGTATGTAAATAATTGAAATATTTTCTTTTTGTGCAAAATAGTTTCTCACATTTTTTTATTCATTTTTTCATGATTTGAGCTCATAAGTATTTTCTAACTTTTTGTTCTTTCCCCACTGTCATGCGAGATTTATGCTTTTATATATAAGCTTTCTATTTGAAGTTTTAAAAAAAGTTGCTCTACCCTTTATTATAAACTAAGGATTCAAACTATGAAAATTTTATTAAAAAGAAATTTGTGATTTTAAATGTTTGCAAAGGAGGAAAATTTCTCCCACCTAAAATATTGTTTTACCACCACTTTGTAAAATTTTTTTCAACAACCATATAAGTTGGCAGCTATATTATGTGCATATCACAATTATAAATGATGTCAAAATTGATATTTCTTATGGCAAGACTCTAGGCTGTTAGTGACACAATAAAGAATAAAAGCTGGTTGTAAAATCGTTTCCTATCTAGCTTGTTTTTGTTAGAAATAAAGAACTCTATCTACCAAGATTTATTTAAAGTTATATCTTACATACTAACTGTTTCCTATTAAGGAAAAAACCATTAATATTGGTTTAAGAACAAGTTTTAATAGCAAGCTGTTTTTCGACCAATTTGAAAGTAAAAAAAGAAAATTAATCAATATTCAGTGTATGTATTTTTTATCCATTTTTAATTGACTTTGTATTATTTGAAGCAATGAAACAGATCTCAATGCTGCTGCAAAACTCGACGATTCAAGTCTTAGTAAGGCAATGAAGCCACCTTCTTTAGATAATATGCTGATGAACAATGCATCAACATCTGTAAAAGCTAGAGCTACAAATCCTAAGGAATCGCAACAAGCACAGTCTCAACGACTCAGCTCATCTGTTTCAACTTTCTCTTCAAGTGAAGTTTTAGATCCCCCTAACCTTGAAAGTCAATCATACAGTCTTCATTTGAATGAAAGCAGCCTGATGTCTTTTTTAAATGTGCTTCAAACGAATTCCAGGGACAGATTCAATATGAATCCACCTAAACCTAAAAAAGACATTTCTACCTCTCCTCCTGTGCTCACTGAGAATACAAGTAAGGAAGGTTTTTTACTATTAATTTACTGAATATATAAGTCAGATACTGATACTATAAAAAACACTTTTTTTCCTTTATACTTAATCAATAATGTTTAAGCTTAAAATTTCAATTCCTCCTCTTATTGATACCGACACATCTTTTCACTGACTTTTAAAGTATTTTTTATATATATCTAGACATTTTTTTAAATTTCTCAAGAAATACTTGAAGGATTATTTCGTAACTTTAGAGGTGTTTAGTTCGTGCGATTTTTTATACTTAACAATAAGATTTAAAGCTTTAAGAGGTTTGGAAGACCTATAAATTACAAAAGAAAACAAGTATTTTTGAACACAATACTATGATAATACTAGATCATTTCTGAAGCTAAAAGATTCCTCATGTCTATAATCATAAATTTTATTGACTTTCGAAAAAATTAAGTTTTTTTGCTGTAATAAGAAAAATGGTGGCTCCTGACGCCAATGATGAAGAAAAAATGAGGATTTTTTATAGTTTAGAGATGAAAACACCTCAAATATAGCGTTTATTTATTATGATATGTTTATGGAAGTGTTGAACATTGTGGTATGACGTTGGTTGGAAAAATGGTTGCAGAAGTTAAATAAGTGGTAAAAAATACCAATGAAAATGATAAAACAGAATCGCAAATAGTGCTAAAATTTACAGAGGCCTCAAGTCTTTGGAACAAGGAGAAACTTTATATTTTCTCACTAAATTACAGAAAAAGAGCACCAATCTCTTTCAAATGATGAAAAATTATTGTTTGGAATGTTTTAACTGAAAGAGCGTGTTCAAACTAAAATTTTTATATATTTTACATAAATAAATGCATTTATTTATCTTTTTTTTTGCATTGTAAATATTTTTGTATTAAGTATATATTTTTTTATAGAAACTTTTTTAGACTGATACTAAATTTATTAATTTTGAAGTCTGATGCCTCTTTATTATTTTTCATACTTTTTCAAGTCATTATTTGGTATTTTATATTGACACCCATTCATTGTTTTCCCTTATCTTTCCTTCACAATGAATGATCCCCGGAGAAACAGTTGATCGAGGCTCTACTCTGTGTATATATACCCTCCATTTCATGAAATGTATAACCTATAAATGTATAAACCTTTACTGAATGTGAAACCTTCTTCCACTTGTACTTAGTGTCAAGTCAACATTTTCGTTAAACACATTTTAACTGACTTTAGGCAATTTTAAGCATTTGAGGAACAAACTTTTTGGTAGCTTTTATCCTGATCTTTTATCCTTGCTTAGTACTCCTGAGCATCATAATTTTATTAAGTTCATCAGGATAATAGGACTATATCAATTACTTTTAAAAATATAAATAATAGCATCATAATAGCATTATCAAAATAATTGGACTATATAAATTACCTTAAAAATATAATAATAAAAAGATAAATCAATTTTTTTCATATTTTCATTGTTTTCTGCTTTGCTTACAATTTTCTATTTAAAAATATAAATAGCTTTTGAACTTACTGACTGGCACATAATCATTCCTGTCTCTTGCACCAGTAAACTTCAATCAACCAACGTTTGAGTTTTTGTTGAGATTGACATTTTTTTCCAGATGTAGTTAACTAAAGCAAAAAGATTGATATTTTTCTCCAGAAGTAATTAACTAAAGCAAGATTTCTTATAAAATTTTGCTTTAAGAAAAGAAGAATTTTTACCAATAATTTATAACAACTTAAAAACATGGCCATTAGTCTATATGATTTTTTATATATTTGTTTAAATTAATAATATGTGACGGTTTCGTTCTAATTTTTTGGAACTACATAAATTTTGTAGTAATTGGTGGTTATGTTTCTATATTATGGTGTATATAATAAATCATTATTAATATTCATCATGCATAAATAATTATTATAACTAATTAACTAAAAAATAGGAATGACTCTTATATAGTGAGTTAAGGCTTTTTAATGTATCTTTATTTTAAACAAATAATATGCTGCCACTTTAATTTTTTAATATATTTTTTGAAAATCGCTTTTGACTTATTTAAAATTGGTTAAGATTTTTTCTGCAATAAAGTTAATTTTAAGATTTTAAATTTAAAACTATTTAACTCACATATTTTTGATGTTGTTTAAAATATATTTACTGGAACTGTTAAACTAAGTATTTCCAATAGGTGAGAAACCTAAGAGCTCTACAATTGATATCATACCATCTGATGAAGAATTAGATGGACAGTTTTCAACTGCAGCTACAGGTATTCTGTGATTTTTACAGTACATATTGCATACTTACTAACAATTATTAGTTTAAAAGGCAGATTAATTTGCTAGTGTGACTTCTAACTAAAATAAAAATAGCAGCATATTTTTTGGTGCATTTTGATATTAAGACTTTAGATATAAGATTGGTTGTTCTTTCATCTGTGGCTTAATAATAAAACAACCAATTTCGAAATTTAAAACTATTAAGAATTGAATATTCATAATAATTTAAAGCAATATTGCAATAAATGTCTCATGTTTATGGTGTGATATTGGTTACATAGACCTTAATTTTATTAAAATTAAAGTTCATCCTCTTTGATAAAATTAAGAACTATTTTCAGCCATTTATATTAATTTTTATGAAATATGTACCTGGTTGCTCTTGCTCTGATATAGATAGATATATCACTAGATCACCAAAATTTCAAAATTGTTTTGTTGTACATTTATTAAATGATCGTTAAGACACGGTTCCCAGCAGATCACCGAAGTCAAGCATCACTGGCTACGGTCAGTGTGCGGGTGGGTGACCACTTGGATCAGTCTGCGTAGGGACCGAGGGTGTGCGGTATTGGTCCTCGTTAAACTTTGCTACCGTAAAGTGCTCAACTTCGCGCGCAGGTCGTTGGACTACCGAAGTGGGGGTGCCATCCCCTCCGCAGAGGATCAAAATTGTGATGGCATGTCTTCGGATCATCCTCCGGGATGTTTCCCAGACCGTCGCCAATAGCCCATTGTGCAGCTTTAGTGCAACGTAAATTAACAACAACATTTTATTAATATCTCCAATACCTAAACCTTTTTGGCTGAAGTCAATGAAAAATTAAGCACATCAAACGCAAGTTTTCTTTTAAATTAATAAATATTTTTTATTAACTATTTTTAGTACATAGTATGTCACCTCTTAGTTTTAGGTGTTGTTGATAAGATGTTTTGCAACATCATATGGTAAATTAAACAGTTTTATAGAGTGGAATATTTAACGAAGGTGAAAGATATCATTAATGATTGAGGAAATAATTTCATGTCAATCTTCTTGTCTTATTATGTACTCCTAGTAATAATATTATAGAGTACTTTAGTTTTATAAAATTGCATTTAATGTGCTAGACGCTTGCTATTTTTGTGATACTAGTTATTTATTTATTTTATTTTATTTTTTGTTCAATTATTTTTATTTATGTATTTATATATTTTTTTATTTAGTATTTTTATTTATATATATTTTTTATTTAGTATTTTTATTTATATATATATTTTTTATTTAGTATTTTTATTTATATATTTATTTATTTCTAAACTCTAGTTATTTTTTCACATTTTTAAATTAATATTTTGTGGCTAAATTATTTACATTGTTCTAGTCGAATGACTATTCAACTGGCCTAATTGTTACTTAGTTTTCCCCTAAACTCATTATTTAATGCATTTCTAATATATATGTAAGCAGTTGCATTTAAAATATTACATCATTTCATATTTGAAACTTTACAATGTTAATGATTAAGCTATCATTAAAGACTAAAAACGTATATTAGATTTGCATGCATTAGATATGAAGATATTTAGACACATGCCTGAATAACTCAAGATGTGGTTACAGGAAAAATATATAAATAAATGTTTCCTCTTTATGTCCATTTTATTTACTCGACACATATTTTTTCAGTATTTAACTGTGTGGAAATTATTATCTCATTTGTGACTTGCTATTGAAGCTAATAAAATTCATTTTTTTCTTTAGAAGGTAGCACTTTGTCTAGTCGTCGAGATAGCTGCAGCAGTTGCGACCTGCCTCTGAACAGTGAAGCTGACAACAGGGTCCTGACCCTTGCTGAACATATTATTGCTGCTATGCCTGACCGAATTAAAGCATCTGCCAACACCGATCCTGAAGACCCGTTTCGGAGCAGTGAAGATTTTTCTGAAGGAGATGGAAGGAGCTTATCCATGAGCCAAAATCCACTTGACCTTGATATGTGTTCTATTGATGATTCTTCTCCCCCTCTTCTCAATGAAGAATTTAATTTTGATCATACTTATCGGTATGTTTGAATAAGTTCTTAAATTAACTTCATAACTTTATTTATGTGAAGAGGATATTCAAATATTACATATGTTTTAAGCAAATTAGACTCCTCCCCCTTGTCAAAAAAAAAAGCAAACAAACCACAAACCATTCTAGCTTACGTATGAAACTTGCAATACTCCTTGTTTTTGCTTTGACTTGTACTGTAGTAATTTTATTTTAGGCTTAAATTCAAAGAAAATATGTATCTTTGCTCTCAAAATTTTATGAACATTTAAGTAGAAAATTCTTCAGGAATCTTTTTAGTTTTTCTTCTATCGTCAAAACACTGAACAAAAAAAAAATGAAACAAAACACTTGAGAAAATTTTTTACAATTCTTTTCCTTGAATTTAATTTTAAATATAAATTTTTTCTAACTGTAAATTTTTCTTGATTTTTTAAAAATTTTATTCCTTTATTTTTTGAAAAAATAAAATAATTTTAATGTGTTATGTTATAATTGCTCATACTTCTCCTACCCCTTGTCAGGAAAAATAAGCAAGTCACGAACTGTATTCCGCTATTAGGTGCTTACCTAATATTTGAAAGGCCCCAGAAGATTATGGGACATATTTTAGAAGACATTTTAATAATTTATTCTTATTACTGAAAAAGTGGGTGTTGCAGTCAAATTCATTTATAGTGAGAATAAAGGGACCCTAGAAATTCACTCTTTGTATCTGGGTTCTCATTAGACCCTAGGCAGCCAAAAATTTTTTAAAAATATGTCTATTTCTCAAAAATAAATTAGAAGATGTTAAAAATGATTTATTTTGCATACTGTGTTCTTCCCCCCCCCCTGCATTTTGGCAATTTTGTTTGGAGTATAGCTTGGTGATTTTTAATTTTATTAAACTTTTTGACTTAAAATTTTTGTTGATGTGAAACTTTATTCTTTGGAGTGTTATTACTACAAACAGATAAATAAATTTTGTGATTTGTCAATTTTTAAATTGATTGAATGAAACATTTTTGGCTTATCATCAAAACCTATTCTTACAGGTATTGTGAAACAAATACGCCAGTTTCTTCACTAAGCCCGGCTTCTTCGTCTTGTTTGCAAAGTCCTAGCAGTTTTACTTTAGATTCACCCTCACCCCCTCCTACTACTGCTGATTTTTGTGAATTCTTTCAAGCATCTGGTAAAATCATGGAAAAAGACTTCTCAAAACTCACTCTCTCAGGTATGTTATATTCATTTAATTTTATCTATCTTTATCTGTTGCAAGAAAAAACCATTATCCCTATGCAGAGAGCCTGTTTACATCAAAGTGCGCACCAAATGGATGCCAAGCTCCCTACACGAGTGAATATCAACATCGCCAACTCTTGAAACATTGTGAACAGCCTTCTTTTTGCTTGCTCTCTGAAATCGTATGAAATGAGGAAAACAAATCTTATCAAATAATCGATTAATAAGGAATAAGAATCAATAGAAATGATATTTAAAAATCGTAACATATGTGTATTTTCTGTTTGCATTTAGAGAAGGTGATGAAAGAATGATAATATTGTTAAGAATAAGAATATTCTTTCTTCTTTTGAATTTCTTCTACAGTGAAACAAAACTAAAAGTTTTTTAACTTGTATTTAATTTGTTAAGGATATGCCAGCATAAGACGTGCCATTTTTAATGGTACAATCAAATCCAATGCTCTTGCAACATCATATAATTGCCTCTTTTTCAAGAACAAATGTTCCACTTATTTATTGAAATATGTCATCAAATCTAGGAAAAGATAGCATGAATTATGAAAGATGGCACAAATTGACATGTTGAGTTTTATAAGCTTATATATTGTTTTGATAGTATAATTTGATAATGAAATAAAACATAACTATGTAGGCATTAATGATTATTTAAATCCTATACCACAATGGTCTTTTCTTAACTTACAAGGGAATATAGTTCTGCTATATTATATAATTATAAGACATTGGGACTAGGATGTTAGTACTTACTTACTTACTTACTTATCCTCTACGTGCCTTGGGCACTTAAGGCCTCCAGCATATCCCTCCAACGCCTCCTGTCTTTAGCAATAGATCTTGTTAATAGATCTTGTTAATAGATTAGTAAGACTTTTTAATATTATTCAAAA